TATATTTTTATAACAGAAGTCCAGTTAGACTAGGATTATCTTTCACTGAATTTATAATGTTGCGGGTTTCTCTTGTTGACAGCTTGAATGGACGCCCAGATCCCAACTTTGAGGTCAATAATCCTGTTTACTTGTAGTTGTTCACTACTCTTTGGATAAAAGAATGTGACCGCTTAACGATTTGACCAATTTTGCGATACATTTTCCTTTTTTTCCATAGATCAATAATAATACTGCTCCCACTGATAATAATTTCTTTTCCGTTATTTGCCATTATAAATTTAATTACTTTTTAATTGTTAAATTATAAAATAAGTGCGTGGGATTGTGTATAATGATATACTGGTACAGTAAAACATAAAGCACGCCAAAGTTCTACAGTTAAAACTTCGGGAATTCCCCTTTATATATTTTGTACGCACACTTTTTCTGCCACCGATAGCGCTTCTTTTTTACATTTTTAATTATTATAATTTTTCTACTAATCTGTTAGAAATAATTTTTACCTTAAAATGAAGATAACAAATAAAAGTACTAATAAAAAATAAAATTAATTTAAAAAATGTATTTATTTAGTAATAATAATAATCAATTATATGCAAAGCGCAACCTATATATTAACTATCCATTTTTTTCAATTTTATGATTTTAAAATTTTATTTTAAACTTCACACAGCACTACCCGAAAAGCACTCTTCAAAAATTTTGCGTAAATGACAATTCTGTGTGTCACTTAAGTGGGGTGCAGACTATCATACTGGTGTGTCATACGAGTTGCGCTCTCTCTTGCTCAAATTTCTTCTAGCGACCGAATTTGAACAGGTATGACACACAAGAGTAGGCAAAATTTTTGAAGAGTGCTTTTGCGGGTAGTGCTGTGAAAATTTGTGTGTTTAAAATAAAATTTTAAAATTGAAAAAATTGATAGTTAACGTATAGGTTGTGATTTGCTTATAATTGATTATAATTTTGTATATTTTATATATGCCGCGTTTTTTTTGCGATCTTTATATTCACAGCTTTGGACATCCCACAAACAGCGATTACTTTTATTAACATTCGATGAAAGCATCTAAAAATGCTTTATCTGCATCCATATTCTTATTTTTTTTAGGTTTATTGGTCATTAAGCACAGTAGTTAAAATGAAAAGATCAGTAAAGGACCGTAGTTAATTTCATTCACTACCTGTAAAGTTTCTTAAGAAATTTTTCATAAATAGATCATACAAATAATGTATATATATATATACATAAGAATGTATATATCTTCATTGTTTTTGAAGAAATTTGATCATTTCCATATATTTGTTAGTTAAAGGTTATTAACATTTAAAATTCATTTTTTAACATTCAGTTATTAACATTTAAAAATTTTAATAACAAGTTTTAACAAAGAAAAGCATATTTAGAATACAAAGTATTATATCTTAAATTTGGGTTATTAATTAATTAATTAATGTATTACGACCAATTTTCAATATGTTTTTTTATTACTGGGCTTAGATCATAAATTTAACGATGTTTATATTTAGATGTTTTTTTAAAAAAAATTTTACTTATAATCATCGTTCATAAATTAAAATAAAATAAAATAAAATATTTAATAAACTAAATAAAATATTTAATATATTACATAAAATATTTAATTGTATTTTAATTTTTTATAAGAATTTATATTTTTTTTAACTAAGATACAATTAAATATTTAACACAAATTTATAAGTGTAATTTTAATAATAATAAATATTATAATAATAAATATACATTAATAATAAAATAATAAAAAACATATTAAATTTATATTATAATTCTACATATTCCACCTGCTTACAATAAATTTGCAAGGCAAAAATGCTCTTGTATGACGTATGAATCGTTAGGGGTGACAGACTATCATACACAACGCGTATGCGAGAGCTGTTCACCAAAATTTTGGTGAGCACGCCAACACGTTGGTAAAGGTGGCAGACTATCATACCTGTGTGTCATACGACGTTTTTCTCTCTCGTATGACATACCAGTATGATAGTCTGCACCCCACTAAATAGAGATTTCTGACGAAAAAAAAAGGTTCAAGAAAATTTGTTCTCTAGTTCCAGTAAATGTATGCTGTGTTTTGGGTAACAACAGAATACACTGCTGAGATTACATGGTCCTGTGTTGGTTTAAGGAATTTCAGTAAAATAGAAATCCAAGAATATAAGTCTTGCATTATTTACTTCTGCCTCTGATTCCATGCAAAAATAGAAAACTTTCATCAACACACAACACCAAGTGGAGTTAAGAGCATACAGGGTATGTATGCTTAGTTGAAAAACTTAATATCTTTTTACACACTGGGTTAGCATATTTTCATCTTAGAGAACAGTTTGTACGTTTTACAAATTGCTTTCAGTTAAAGCAAAACAAACATTTTACCAGGCTAAAACTTCAGATCAGGAGAGCTGAAGGACTCTATCTAAAAAGAAAATCAGGTTAAAACATATTTAATAGAAGGAACCAATTTGACCTTAGGTTTATTGTGGCAATATTGAAAATAAATGCTTCAAATATTTAAAATCATTGAGAACTTTTAATCAAGTTTAACATTCTCTTTTAAAGAAAGTCAAAATCTCTAGGATGTCTATTATACGTATCTCAAGTAGTTCTTCTTACATTTAAATAATTAGATCATTTCAAATACTTCGCAAAAAATGAGTGCCTATTCGCAAATAACATTACCAATTTTTTAATTATTATCCATTGAATAATCAAATGTAAGAAAAATGTGCGACTAAGTATTGCCGAACACTTGTTTGATATAATCACTAAATTCCACTTACGACAAAATCAGAGCAATCCCAACTTCTGGAATGCAATCTCTTTTGGACGACTTAAATATATCAGCATTAAAGTTGGTACGCCCACACTGAAATTTAGTATATCACAGCCCTTCTTAAATAAAAACTTTTGAAACTACAGAAGCTATGACTTGCTTTAAGACTGATAGTAAATTGAATAGGAATACCATCACACAATGAAACTAATTTCGTTTTTAAATTCAATTGAAATCACATCTGTCTTCTGTAATTTTCTCTATCTAGGAATATTATAGGAAATTCCAAACTAGCCAGACATGATGCATTAGGAACATGCTCGAAGCATTTGAAAGATCTGGCCATACTAATGGCATCATAAACACATATTTTGAAATATTATTTTGCAAAACAATTGAATGCAAAATGAAAGTAAGAAAAAATCTGTCGATCTTATTGTAATACTCCGTAAAAATGCAGTAATGAGATACAAAAAGTGTACTGAGACGTCGCTCTCTAACATAATAGAACACAATTCTTGCTACTCTTCCGGAGAAAACTAAAAATTTGCTTTGCAGTCGCCTTACGATTGCACAGCTCTCGCGAAACATAAATCAAAGCTTTTAACTTTATAGAGGTTCCTATTCTATGCTAATGAGTATCTTAAACTTTATTAAATGTTATAGTCTTAATCCTTGTAGTTATATACCGCAACATAATAAACTAACAAACCTAAGTAGATCCCTGTGATCACCACAAAACTCTAATAGAACCTATTAAGCCGATTAAATAACGCTATATCACCATGATTCTATGGCGATGTCATATTAAAATAATATTTTAAAAATCAAACACCAAGTTGGTTCAAAGTAGGTGTTAGAAATAATCTCCTCATAACATTTGTAAACTTACTTTAGTCGTTGCAACCGTGCAGGTTATCATTATAAAATGCAACCCAGTACATATATAAACTGACAGTTCATATGTCAGCTGGTTGTCATTCATGCCTTCCTTTTGGTTTAAGATCCGGTACAATCAAGGCAGTTGTAGCAATATAATTATTTTTATAATTATTTATAATATAATTATTTTAAGTATGAATAATAAATAAAATTTTATATATAGTTTTTAAAGGATCACTACATTACTACGTAACATCACCACAATAATAAAGAAAGAAGTATTTAACATATATGTGGTCGTTTTTAAAATTGGTCTTCAACAATAGGCACAATGAGAAAGTATATAAATTAAAGCTTTTTACATATGTATATAGTTATTATATTTAATCAATGAATTAATATTCTCTATAAAGAGGTTTGTTTTCATTATTACGATTAGGATTGCATCTTTGTATAAATCCCATATGAGTATAGCTTAATTTATTGACGATAATTACTGCACAATTACTCTAATAAAGTTTGATTGTATACACAATTTTCTCCTAACTAGCACAGTCAATTATATCTATATTAAGGATAAATGAATCATAATGTTTAATGTATTATTTGTTAAAATTTTCCAGCCTTATTCTTCAAATAAATTTAATCAGTACAAAATTATCCTTAATATAGAATTACCAATTACTGTAGTTACCAGTCCCGTATAACCCCTGTAACCCATTGATGTGTACAAACTGGTCTACTTCCCACATTTTGGTATTTGGTTTAGCGGTATTTTTTTAAATTTTTTTGTTAATATTTATATATTTATGTTTTTGACTAAAGAGAACATTTCAAATATATATTTAATTTATTCTGTTTTCTTACCGCCAGAAGTAGTAATTTTATTCTTTTTTACTGCGAAATCTGAATTGAAAAAATTTACATTTTTGTTTTGTACTTGTGGTTATGCGGAAATTGAAAACAAAAACGATTGTGAAACTGTAAAAAAAAGACAGCGGCTTTGATATACAAAATCGCAATAAAATCACAATGATAATACTCTCATCAAATTATAGTCTTAACATTTATGATATATTTATAGTAGAATAGAATATTTATAGTAGAACTCTGTTGCTTTATATTTTGGTGTAATATAGTCAAAAAGAAACTTCTGTATTTTCTACCTGAATTCAATCATATGTTTTCAATTTTAAATGTATTATAAAACTAGTACTGATTGATTTAATTGTAAATTTAAACATTTTTAATTACAAATTTCAATTTTTATAAAAATTATAAAAACATAATTTAAAACAAAAATAAAAAAATTACATAAAATATATATTTATATACGAAATCGGCACTTTGTACAATTACATATACAATTCTTTTAAATTTCACGAACCCTACGTCCCTTTTACAGAATAAATGGTTTTCAACATATTTGAACTCATCAATTTTTTTAAAAAACGTCTAGAGTATGCAAAAACAATAAATATTTTATTATAGTTCATAGCTTATATATAGATTATAATAAAATATGAACTAATATATCTGTATGACGAAGAAAAAAGATTTTTGTATGCTCTTTTATTTCAATAAAAATTGTTTATTTTAGTTACCATACACCAAAACCCATTACCAAAAGGGATGAAGTGAAACATTACTCAGTTAATGATAAAAAACACGATTTGGATCTTGAGAACTCAGCTACATTTGATTTAGCTAATATATCCGATACTGGCACAACCGCTTACTGTGAAGATGAGCATAAGAGACTCATATTTAAATTCAAAACCGAAAATAATTATTTTATTCCAACATTTGAAACAATTCCAATTGGCCAAGCAATTGAATTCGTGTTCCATCCCGAACGGTTAACTGAGATGAAGTGGAGAGACAAAATAATCGCAGCTACTGTTAGAGCCAAGAATGAAGGTTATACATACATGTGGTGTTCGCAACACCATACACAAAAAGTTATACCACAAATGAAAAGCATTAGTGTGGAAACTGTTGAAGATTGTAATTCAAATAAAAGTACTGAGGAAAAGAAACCATTTGAAGTAGTTACGAACCAGTCTGTAAGTATTATTAGAGTTAAAATGGAAATCTTAATAACCATAATAAATGAATTTCTTAAGGAATTAGTACTCCATTTTGGTTACTGTAATAATTACACAAATTGCGACATCAGCAGTTCTAGTCCTAGCACAATGGTTTCAGTACATAAGCCAATAGCACCTATTGAAACTTCAACTCTAACTCACAACACTTTTAGCGAAAACACTAGTTATAATGATAACTCTATATCAACTACTGATGTTTGCTACAATAATAAAAATGGTGAAATTAATGATGACACCTCATATGATAATTCAACAAATTTATCCCCAATAATTGCCAACATTAGTAATATTGTATCTGAGGATGTAAATGAGAAAATGAATGGCAAAGAAACTATTTCAGATAGTACCTGCAAGACACAAGTTAGTGACCTGATTAACAAAAAAGTTATTGGCCCAAATTTAAATAATCAACATGATGTAGCAAAAGTCAGTTCAGACTCCATTTCGAATAAAAATAATTGTATATCTTCGAATGACTCCAAAACTTCCTGTGAAAATAGAAATGATAATGAATGCACTGCTTTAACAGATAATTTATATTCAAATTGTGTGAAACTTTCCACAAATTCTTTAGAAGAAATTGAAGTGACATCCTTAGAAGAATCAGCTATGAAAGAATCACTTGAAGAGGAACCTACGCCAAAAGCCTCAGCTATGGAAAAATTAATACTGTCCACGGAAGAATCAATAGAAATAGTAACATTTGAAAAAGAGCCAAGAAAAAATATTTTTAAAGATACAGTTAAAGGTAGATAATTAATCATTTTTTTACAACTCATTCTTCTGTTTTTATCTCTCTTTACTTTAAGATGTTTTCATTAGAAAAACTCCACCTGAATTATGTAATGAACCGGTTATTGAAGCATATAAACCCATATCAAAGGAATCAGCTGCTGCAGATGTAGTTACCATCGCCACAGCTAAACCTGTCATTGAGACATACGTACCTATTTTGAAAGAATTAACTATTGGAGAAGATGCAGTTAACAGTTTAGAAGCTGGACCTGTCATTGAAACATACATGCCCACATTGAAAGAATCAGCAGTTGCAGAGGAAGCAGCTACCATCCACACAGCTAAACCTGTCACTGAAACATACACACCTACACTGACAGAAGCAACTATTGCAGAAGATGCACATACCATTTCGAAAGCTAAACCTGTTATTGAAACATACGTTCCCATATTGAAACAAACAACTTTTGTAAAAGAATCAGTTACCATCCCAACAAAAAAACATATTATTGAAACATACATACCTATACAGAAAGAATCAACTATTGCAAAAGAATCAATTAACATTCCTACAAAAGAACCAGTCATTGAAGCCAATACCGACTCCTCAACTTTAACCGACAATGCCACAGAATTTGACTGCATTAAAAAAGCTGTTAAATTTATTTCCATTGAAATAAAAAGTGCTAGAGTTCCCAACAAGTCCAATAAATCGTTTAGTCCCACTATGGAAGCAGACAAGGAGAGTAAAGTTACTGCAGATGACTCTGCTGATGTTTTTAAGAAAGTTCCTAAAAACATTAAAAAGGAGCTTGAGCGAAAATGTCAAACAGCAAAAGAGTTGTCAATTTTAAGAGCAAATATGATGGAATACTATAACGCACTTGAACAGAAAGCTACAGAACAGGTGAAATCTGAAGGGTTTCTAGATTCGACTAGTGAATTTTTACATGCACTAAATCTGATAGACTTGGGTTTTCTAAGAAGTGGAGGTCTCACAGTGTTTCACGATTCTGCACTTTGTACTGAAATTGATCGTATTGTAAGTGCATCTTGGAAGTCTTCGAAGAATAAGGATAAACGAAAATATATTGAATAGAAGGAAATGGGTTGATTTAAATGCTATTTTTAAATATATTTCATATTTTTGAAATTTTATTAATTATTTGATTTAAAACTTAAATATTGGTGCATATGTTTGGAATCATAACATAGTATATGTACAAATATATTTAAAAAACTATGCACTATACTATATATTAAGAAATACATTTGAAAAAAATAAAAAACCTAAACTAAGCGTTTTTAAACATTTTAATCAATAATCCAACTACGAGTACATGTTCATTTATCGAGAAGGAAAATCATACTGGATAAAAACTACTGGCTGGTATGTACCTGTGCTAAGAAACCAGTCATCCACTTCAAGAATAAAAAGAAATAACTGAATTCTATATTTGCAAAAGCCTTGGCTTGGAAAAAAAGTCTTAGGTCTAAGCTTAATAACCTCTTTCATCGATCGAAAAGACTAACTTGAAAACATTGAACGTCATATCCTAGCGTAGATAATAAGTTATTTCAACGAAAAAGAACGCACAGTCGCCACTAAACCAATCTCACCTATTCATACAAACAAGAAATCTTCCGTAAAATCCTTAAGCTTTTGAAGACGAGTATAATTATAAAATTTATACTTACTGCATTGTTAGTTCATTGTTAGTTACTGCATTGTTAGTTTAGTCATTACATAATTACATAATTGAATGGCCTTGCAGTTTTGATCTTTTTTGAAACATGTATTAGTTTTTAATAACATATGCATTTAATAGCATGTTAGAGAGACATCGCTTCCTTAGAAATTATATTTTCTTCTGTAATCACTTTTTAAACAATCAAGAATAATACCTTAATATACAGAACATGATTTTTTAAATAATTTTTTTTCGTTTTTAAAAACCTATAAAAAAACCTTCAATTTTATTTAGCAACCGATTGCTCCTTGAAAGGAAAAATTAAAAAATAATTTTTTCTCAATATCCTGAACATTCTAAAATTGCAAAAAACTGTTGTATAAGAATTGTGATAAAGCAACCTTATCCCCAATAATTTCAACTCAAGTTTCTTACATGTCTGCACTCAAATTCTACTTTCAATACATGTGACATTTAAGGGCTACAGAACATAAAAGAAGGGGATTAGCAAGAGCAATGGGGGAAGCTTTGCGTGTATTTCAATTGCAATAATCTTAAACACACGATTACATATGTTCGTCTTTATAAAGAAAAACGTTTACAATTTAATACAGTCGAAATACAAAGTTTTTGAATTATTTGCAATAAAGTTGCACGAAACGAAGTGGAGCATGAGACCAATGAACGGTTTCTGAGTGGTTGGTTGTGGGCTGCTAAGTACTACAAATATGCTTCTAAAAACTGTACAAACTATTGCAGAACAGAATAACTTTTACTGTTATTTGTACTAGTACTCATACAACTTTGTTATGTCTTTACGGAATTATCGATAGCGATTTGTTAGTTTTGAAACGTGCCTGCTTACAAGCATTGAAGTTGCTCAACTTGTCAGACGAACTGACGACAGAAAATCCAAATACGCGACAAAGGCGACAAAGGCACCAACGATGGCACCAATATCTGCGCTTCCACAGGAGCAACGACTCTAGTGGGCTGATGCAGTGCTTGGGAACAATTACAGACTTTAGTACGCACATAAACACATCAATACTCATAAGTGTTATATTACTTGCTACTGCCGCAACAACATCAACAACAGTTGCTGCTGTGTGAGAGCAGCAATGCCAGTATCGGCAGCACATGTCAATGCAGTTTTGTACGTGCACAAATGTAAAGATTACATCTTTAAAACTTTTCCATATCATAGGATTTTTTATTACTCAGAACACTGGATCTCTTAAGCATGCCGGGTTGGTATTTAGTACCGAAGGCATGCAACACAAGAACTGAGATAAAAATATCAGTCGTTGGCAATATTGGAAATTTTCTTTTGGTTTATGGCGTTGGGTTTTTTAATTACTTGTGTTTCCAAGCTGTGGAAGTGCATGAGAGACTTTTATGCAATTATCATTCCGATTGCAGTAATTGCTGTGAACGTGATGTAAAAGAATATGATAACTGCACAACATTGGTCTCTACGTATCAATAGGACATGAAATTAAAATATCAAATTGATAGTATAATTTCAATTTTTTTTTTTTTTCGTGTCATATTGGCAAAATTGGAGTACTTCCTTAGTTGCGATATTGTAACAATTAGACAAAAAGAATTAAATTTTTTATTCCGTAGTAAAGGGTATTATATTTCTTACTATTATCATGTTTCTTGGTAAGAGTAATGAAGTGCAAACAAAGCTTCGTCATATGATATTGTTAGTGACGTTATTTCGAATCTTTTCCAATGACCCTAAACTGTGGATGTTTTACATTCATATATCGCTTTTAGTGATCACCGATTTTACGATAATAAAAAAAATTATTAAAAATTAATATTTTGTGTTTTTTAAATTTTAAATTCTTTTTTTTTTAAATTTTTTTTTGATATTACATTAAAGTCGTGAAACCGTCGCCTAATGCCGGCAGAGAAAGCTTCATGAGATAAAGTTGGATTTAATACTATGGATGTATATATCATAATTAAGTCAGGCAACACTGGAAAATCTTCGGAATTTTTTAATTTTCTTGAACTTAGCATGTTCAATAGAGTTGATTGTGTTGTGTTGCTTCTATTATAACTGTTATTATTTTTTCAGCAAAAAATATTTTTCTTTTCTACAAAATATTTTTATTACAAGGCAAAACAATTTGTTAAGAAATTAAAAATGGGATTTTATATGTTAATTGTTGAAGGTAGCTCAGTTTTTTTGAAAAAATATTTGAACTAAGCTCCATGAAAACAAGAAGGAGCAATGGTAGACTGCGTTCTTTAAGATTTAATGTGCCAATTTAATGAGTTTTGAAAATCCCAGAACCCAGACCTGATTCGATTCATGTGAGTATGTGAGTATTGCTTACCTCATCTATATCTTAAAAAAATAGTATCTTTTCCGCTTATGGTAAAAGTTGTCGAGCAAAGAAAATATTAGATGTTGTCAACTCACAGGTACTAGACTTATTTCCGAGGAATTACAAAGTACGAATAGAAAATCTTGGCAAAAGTTTTACTTTAGATTTCACAGAATCTACAAATATGCTCTTACGTTATTATATACTATTATATGTGTTTTATGCTATTAGCTGCGTCATCTTAATTTCAAAGATATAACTGATCTCATTACTAAACTCATCCAAAATGAAATCAGTCTTTATAACTTAAAACTAGTTTTTATTATAAATTTTTGCAATTCATGCTCATTTTCACAGAAATTAGATGCAATGATTAATCCCAGCATTAAAATAAAAAACTGGGACTAACTTGCGATTTCCGTAATGTCACGATTTGTGTCAATTTAGATTTTTTTCTCTGCATAACTGAAAATTACTGATGTTTTATGAATCTATCTTATGTCAGATAAGCTTTATCAATAAAACTAATTTTATACATAAACAATGTTTTCCTGGTTGTGAATGGTATTTAAGTAGTAATAGGAAATCCTGATAATATTACCAAGTTGTTCTTAGATTTGACGGAGCGCTGACTTCTGACACTTGCAGTTTTAAAAAAATTATTTTCGAATAATTAAATACAGGAATTATTTCCAAGACCACTGATGGTAGGTATTTAGCAATACTCGGAACAGTTGCATATTCAGCCAAAAATTCAAAAAATTAAAATAACATAAAAAAGACATTTTGTTGTTATAGTTAACTACTTTTCTAAAACCTCTTTAGAAAATACACTTAAATATTTTAAAAAAATTTTAATCACTTTTCTTTGAATAAACAGTTTTCATTGGTATTTTAAATAAATTTCTTCTTAATACACATAATTTGCTTATTGAATCCTTTCAGGAAAATTACTGAGAAATCACTGTCGTTATCAAAATGTCGGCCACTTCACATCTGGTTGACAGAATTTCTTAATGATTTTCAAAAAATGGCGGCAATATCATCGAAATCTGTCTATGTGTATGTAAAACACCCAAGAAGTTCAATGTCAGAACTCGAGACCACTAGTACCTTAAAAATGACAACATTACAAAAGTGGAAAACATAAGCACAGATAAAAGCAAACACTGAAGAGAGAGGTAAGACAACCCAGCAAACAAATATAAGAAAATTCAAGGAAAATCAAGAAAAACAATGAATTCATGGTTATGACAATATTTAGCAAGTGGTACGTGATTGACGTTGATTTATGACTTTAGCGGTAGGTTTGTTGAAAGTAAACAGCAGCAAGCATGGTTACTGGAACTCACAAGGACAACTGCGAAAGAAGATTTGTTATGAAATAGCTTAGCGCTATATATGCACAAAATAATATGAATTACTTGTGTGTACCTTCTATTGAAATTTCTTCAATTAAACTCAAAATTGAAAAAAAAGGGAAAAGTTTTTTTTTACAAAAAAAAGATTATTTAAATACGAGAAATACTCGTAACTCATATTTGAACATATTTACAACTTTAATTGCAAACGAATCCTTTTAATTTGAATATAATTTGTTTTGCAGGAAAATGGTATTTCTATAACCATTGAAAAACCAATCAATTTGGAGAAAATAAATGTTTGACAAGTTACTCATACAGTTTTTGTCAAGTATATGAGATCTAGCATAGGTCGCTTTCACCTGGTGCACCCTAAGTAAAGCAAAATGATATATTATTTTTAAACGTTGGCAACGACTGGCTTATTATTCTGTCACGTGTGAACGACACCAAAATTAGACTACAGCTATAGTACGTTCTGCATTCATCACTACTAAATTACTTACGTAGGTTCGTTAAAATTTTTCTTCTGATGCGTACTTATTTGGATCTGAACAGCTGTCACCATATCACCCTGTGCCAAACCTCACGTAACATTCTTACATCAATAAAGATAACCATTGTATCTTTGTAGTGACTACATTTTACGGATAGAGATAGCAGCTTTAAGTGGGGACGACGATCTAATAAACCCAAACAATAAAAATTTGATAAAACCGTACGCTCAACAAAGCGTTTAACACTGGTCAAGCCAAA